AAAAAAAAAAAAAAAAAAAAAAATCCTTAAGCTATTTGGAATTGCTGTTGAGAGGATCACTAGATTTATGGAGGAATTAGTGACAAATGACTGGTAGAAAAATACTTTCATCTTGTTCATCATTTTCTGTTATAGGAAGCCACTCCACCATAGAATGCTAACATGCCAGTGGTATCCAGTACCTCATGCATATAGGTTATTGCAAATATAGTTTGAATGTGCTTAACTTTAGAATTACAGTATTTAAAGTAAATAATTGTTTGAAATCTATTTTATAAAAATGTATAGTATGTTAGTTTCTGGAGTACAGATTAAATTATTTGCACTAACATGTGATGTGCACAATTTAATAAAATGACTTTGTGGGGTGGGGGGATAAAGTTCCATTGTGATGTAGATTCTACTTGGTTTTTCAGTTTTCTTTTTTTTCAATTTTATTTCTGATCATCTGTGCATTTCCTGTGTGTTCTACCTATAGCATCTTTGCTTTGTGTTTGTCATTTCCATTAAATCTTAGAGATTATCTAATTTAATTGCTTATTTAAAATAAGATTTCTGGGCCAAGGATATAGCTCAGTGGCATTGGACCTCCCTGCCTGGCTTGCCTGGCAAGCATGAGGTTCTGAGTTCACAATTTCTGGTACCTGCAAAATAAAGTTTTCTTTGAGCTTGAAAATGCAGTGATTTTATTTTCTAGGTTATCTAAGCCTCTCTTTATACCTTCTAGTTACTCCTTTTTCCTTCTCTTCCTTTGCTTTCTTTCCTTTTTCTCCTTCCATCTGTCCATCCATCCGTGATGGGGTGACCGTTGTCTAGTGACCAAATGAAATTAATATTAATAGCTATGAAGTTGAGAGCAAATTGAAAAGCCTGTAACCCCAGCGTCCTTTTCAGGTTCCTTGTATTCGATATTACTTACTTTTTTTATGGTCACATTTTGAAGTTCTCATTGACCACAGCTTCATGTGATAGAAGAACTTGGGAAAAGTGCACCACTTCTTGGATTAGTTTTTTTTATTCCCTCTTATGAAGAAGTTATTATAATAAGCAGTTATGACCCTCTTCCTTTTCCTAGGGGTTGAACCCAGGGCTTCACACCTACTAGGCAAGTACACTGCCATTGAGCTATACCCCTAGCCCTTTTTAGAAATGTTACTTAAAGATGAGTCTCGCTAAATTGCGCACACTGCCCTGAACTTTCAGTGCTTCTACCTCAGCCTTCTGAGGTGGAATTGATTACACAAATGTGTCAGCAAACACTTTGTTGTCACTATTAAGATCTATGAAAAGAGGAGTATGAAGAAACACAGCAGTGTTCACAGTGTTCACATACCTTTTTCCTGGTATCCCAGTGGGAACAGATTCTATCATCTGTAACTCCTCAGAAAACAAGGAGAAAGACATTAAGAGGGCCGGGGAGATGGCTCAGTGGAATAAGTGCTTCCATGGCAAGCGCAAGGGCCTGAGTTCAATCCCCGGTTCCGCAAAAACAAAACAAAACAAAAACAAAAAAACAAGACATTAAGAAATGAACGTTTTAGGCATCTTACAATGCTGTAGATAGGAATGTGGTAGATTTAAATAGTTACATTGGCTTGTTGAACTACTCATATACAAATTTTACTGCTGGGAAAAAAAAGATATGAATTAATCTTATTAGAATAAGAACCTTATAAAGTTCATATGCAAACTGTTCTTCTGGGGTCATAAGGATAAGAATGAAATGTGCAAGGAAACTTGAAACCTATACCTTGTACTGGCCCTTATACTACTGAGATATCCTATCTGTTTGTTCTACTGTCATGTGAACTGTCCTTTTGTGGCATTTACTGTACCATTAGTAATTAATGTCTTTCCTCATTGTTAGACACAAGCAAAGGCTGAACATTTGACTGTGACTGAAGAGTCAGGCATAAGAGCTTGCCATGAGAAGATGACTACTCAGTTTAAGTTGGGTGCACCAGGACATAATTTCAGTAGCCTTTACTGATATGCGTAATACTTTATAGCATTTTTTTCATGCTTCACATGCATTTACCCACTACTTAATTGGAAATGACCAACGTGTAAAGAATTATAGGTAAAAGAAAGAGCTTCAATACCTTTATCGCATCTCGAGATTCTAGGCTGCTGCTGCTGCTTCTTCTTCCTCATCTTTTCTTTCTTTTTTCTTTTCTTTTTTTGAGACAAGATCTCCCTATATAGTTCAGGCTGGCCTTGAATTGGCTTATGTAGCACAGCCTGGCCTCAAACTCATGTGAATCCTCCCTCAGTCTTCTGAGTTCTGGGGTTACAGGCATGCATTACCATGCCTGGTGTCCAGGCTTGTATTTTAATACTGAGTAAGAGGACACATAAGTTCAAGTCAAAGTGTTGAGACCTTAAATGGTTTAACTTCTCTACATCATACCTTCAGTTTTCTACCTCAAGTCTTATTATTCTTACTTTGACCAAGTGGTGGCATGGTATATACATATATCCTCTTTCTGAGACATACCAATATATATATATATATATATATATATATATATATATATATCACAAACTCATATCCATCCTGTCTGCCCCATTAGTTCCTCAAGGACGGGGTCTGGGTTTGTACATTGTTGTTGTATATCCAGCACCTAGGACAGAACTCAGAACTAGAATCAGGGAATCCTTTTCCTTCTCTTTTGGTATATTTCTACATGGGACAAAACCTTTTTTTTATTGATTAGTGCAATTATAGAGATCAAATGACAAAAGAACCTTTGTCCTTTATGTTACTTCTGTTGGTGTTTTGAGATTCTTCCTGTTAAAAGATTCCAAGCTGAAGATGGGCATATAATGAAATGGCACAAAGAAGCTAAAATATTAATGTGAAAAAGTAATTTTGTAAAAACTTTTTTCTTCAAGGGAACATAGATCCTGCATTTTCTTCTCCATTTGTATTCTCCGTTGTGGCTTAAATTCCTTGTACAATTGTATGAAAATGTGAATATCTGTGCATATATGTGGATACGTATAGACACCTAAGACACATAAATGTTTTATAGTTAGAGAAACACTGTAGCTAAGGAGGTAGATATAAACATTGTAGAAATCTAGGTGTAATACAGAAAATTCTAAAATAAATGATGGGTACTTGAGGTAAAGAGTTTGCTTTAGAAAAAAGACTTAAAATTATGGTAGTTACATAATGGAGTTAAGTTTTTTATTTTCTAAATAGAAATATGAAGAAAAAGTCTTATCGTATGACTTTGATTTTGTGTATCATTTGTAGGAGTTCAGTAACAATTACTTTGTCTTAATTTATGCTTGGAAAAGTTTAAATTTTTTAAAGGATATAAAAACAATATATTTCTTTTTGGTAGCCATTTTTGAAGCAAGTCAGGTATAGGAACTTTTCTATTTTTGTTGCAGTGAATTCACTTAGTGTAGCTTTCTTTTGAAACAGTTGTTTAGGCCATATCTGTGGAATACTGTGAATGACTCACGTTTTTATGCTTTTCTTTATTTGTTGTAAAATTCTAGCAATTGAAGCCACTTTTTTTAAAGGAAGTTGGTAGTCACTTTGATGATATTGTGACTAGTCTCATTGAAAAATCTGCCTCATTAGACAATGGTGGATGTGCTCTTACAACTTTTTCCATTCTTGAAGAAATGAAAAACAACCACAGAACTAAGTAAGTATGTATATAATTTTCTCTTACTGTACACATATATTCTAGTGTAGCCCAGGGTCAGAATGTAGACTGCAGCAAGAATTGCCTGAGTTTAATGTCCATCACCACTTTTTATTGGCTGAATGTTAAATTGGGAAAGCTATATAATCCCTTGATAGGTGAATTTTTTTCTTAATATGTGGATTATAACTACACGCATGCCTTTTAAGAATACTGGCTAATAAAATAATAGAACCAGTGCTTGTTGAGTGCTTTATATGTAATAACTGAATCATCTTGTGAGGTATGCAGATTACAGATTAGTAAACTGAAGCATGAAGCTCTTTAATAGTATCCAAGATATAATGAAGAGATTTGAACCCAGAGTCTGGCTCTAAAGTTGTTGCTCTTAATCAATATCATTACATGACTCCCTTTTATTATCTGTAGTCTAGAGTATGTATTTGTAATAGCATTACTTGTTGTATATTTTTCTAATTGGACAGTGCAGAATAAAAGAAAAGGCTATCAAAAGCTATTATGTGCTAATTTGTCATTCTGGGTATCTTCTAATTTTATATCCTGTGCTCTCTGTGCTAATCTCTCCTTTTTTGGAGAAGTTTTTAGCAGCAATAGCTGACAGAAGTGCTGGCCTTACAGAGTCCTAAAGGAAATGGTAATGCTAGATGCTAAAATGTGTTTTTGTACCTAAAGACAATCATTAAGATTGTTGGGGTTGTGCAAGTCCTTTGGTATTAGGAAGAATATTATAAAATATTGGTGCAGTTTTGTAGGAGGAACCTTTTAACCACATATGACCTAGAGTTCAATGAGGATAGAGGCTTCTGCATGACCGCAGGGAAAATCTTAAGAGTAGGAAGAGTGGTTGCCAACATGTGATTTAGGTGATGCCTTTACAATAGGGGCTGAGAATGGAGGAGACCTCGCGAGTGGTGCTACAGTTAGATGTGGCAGACACCTCCTTCATCCTAACTAGATATGCTTCCATCTACCTCAGAGTACTGTTCATGAATGCCATCTGCTAGCACAGGCTATTAGCCAGATGTAGATGGAAAACATACATAAACATACATGGGCCAGGTTCAAGACTAGTGTAGAAATTTATGATAGGAAAGAAACACAGACACAGACCACAAAGATAGCTACTCCGTGGACAGAGCAGCTGAGTACTGTACAGAGAGTCATGTTACACAAAGGAGGCATTTTACTTTTATGGGGCCACTCCCTACTCCTTGTGTATCCTGCTTCCTTATCTTGGGGCACACTTGCTTTCTTTCCCTCTTTTACCACTCAAACTGTGGCTCCCTGCTTGTTGTTTCCTTTGAGGGGTGGCTACTTTGTTGCCTCAGTTCCACACCTGGATTTGAGTCAGACTGTCTGAGGTTAAATCCACCTCTGTAGCTTGTTCATTCATTGTTTTGAGCTTGAGCAAATGCTTTAACATGCTTTGAAGTTCTTTCCCCAGATGGAGTAAATGAGATAAATATGAAATAAAAGTGGAATAAATTTTCGTAAACATATAAATCTTAATACAGTACCCAGGTCACAGTAAAAGATTATGTTAGATGTTGGAATTAGTAGTATTCTTTTTCTTGTCCATGGAATTATGTTTCTTATAATAGTTGAGCTACTTGTATTTTACTGTATTTTGTTCTTTCCAGAGATATAAGAGCACCTCCAGAGCAAGGAAAGATTTTTGTTTCAAGACGCTCTCTCTTGGAGTAAGTATTTTTTTTGCTCTTGTTATCAGTTTCAGTTAAATAAAAAAGCTGTCCTAATTCATAGTTACTGCTTTAATCTATGACTATTTAATGAGTTTCTTCCATATCCATATAAATCATTAGTTTAGATAGTTTTTTGTGTGTAGTCTTTTGCCAGCCTGCCTGTTTCCCTCCTTCCTTCTCTTTCTTCTTCCTCTTCTTTTTTTTGGGAATGTATTTAGTACATGGTATACAAAGTGGCACCACACAGATCAGACTCATAGTGAAGTCTCCTGTTCTCAGCCTCTCAAGTGCTGGGATTATAGGTGCACGCCACCACCCGCAGTCTCAATGGCCTCTTAGTGTGCCCCAGGGGCGTGGCCAGCACTGAAGGCCCTGGGATTGAACGCCAGGCCCCTGTGCCTGCTTGCAGGCTCTTTAATCCGCTGAGCTATTTGGCTGGCCCTAAAAAACTTCTTTTATGTATAAAAGATACTTAAGAAAAGTCATCTAGAAGGTCATTGCTATGTTTTAAAACAAAAATAGCTCAGTTGTAAGTACAAATCAGTGAGGAGTAAGTGAAAGCATTTCTAAGCAGTAAGTTTTGCAGATGTGTTAAGTGGTAGATGTGTAAATTGGTATAGCTGGTTACATCATCAACGTAGGGCTCAAACATGCACTGAGCTGTCTGGCTGGCCCTGTAATTTTTTTTAAACCTCTGGTCTTACCCTTTAATATCTTTGTACTTGAGGTTTAATATTTTGTGCTATTTTTTTGTGATGTTTTTGAAGGGGGATTAAACATCTTCTAAACTTCTTTAAGGAAGAATATTTACAAAGTATTTAAAAACTAAATATAGGTTATTAATTTGTTTGAACTCCATTCACAGTGAGCTGTTTGAAGTGGACCACATCAGAACAATATATCACATGTTTATTGCTATTCTCATAATCTTCATCCTCAGCACTCTTGTAGTTGATTACATTGATGAAGGAAGGTAAGACACAACAACATGGATGGTTGATGCATGAAAAGTTGGGAATTTTCACAAAATTTTGGTAGTTTGGTGAAATTTGCTTTGGAAAAGTCTAAGGTGACTGACTTGAGGGTGATACTCTTCTGAAAAGTATAAAGAGAAAGCTGGACTTCATTACTTTTATTTTAAAAATACTTTTTTTTTGAGCCAGGGTCTTACTATGTAGCACAAGCTAGCCTTGAACTCATTGTGTAGCCCAGGCTGGCCTTGAACTCACGAGGATCTTCCTACCTCAATTTCCCAAGTGCTGATGTGCCACCATATGCTGCTTAAAAATACTTCCTTTTTTTGGTGGTGCCAGAGATCAGTCCAGGGAGTTGAGTGTGGTAGGCAAGTGCTAGCTATGTCTACCCCAGAATGCAGTAGAATATGATGTTTCTAGGTAACTGTCCCAAGTGAAATGACTTAGCAGTTTTTCTATGCTGTGTATTTGACATTGTTATTTTAAATGACTTACAGGAATTTTAAGGTAGAAAAAGTGATGTTTCTTTTTAATATAAAAATCAATAATTTTTTTAAAATGACATTGTAATCATTGAATTATGTACTGTCTTGAAAATTAAATTTGAGGTTACAATAATATTATATTAGTACACTAATTTTTACTTATCTCCTTCTGAAAAATCATCTTTTGTATACATGATGATATTTAATTTTATCACAGAATATTTTGGAGTTTAAAAATATTAATGTGAGACACTAATATTCCAAACTTTGAAACTTTATTACCTTAGATATCTTAAGTTCAGAGCCATATTATATTAGGGCTCTTAGAAATTTAGTGTTGAGCTACGTTGTGAAGCAAAGGGTTAGAAGGAAGTCTTTATCTAGGAGTATTATTACATCCATGACTTGGATGTGTTATTGTTACAGTTTTTCTGTGTGTGTGTGTGTGTGTGTGTGTGTGTGTGTGTGTGTACTGGGGAATTGAACTCAGGACCTTTTGCTTGCGAGGCAGGCACTATGCCGCTAAACTATATCTCTGGTCTTTTTTTTTTTTTGTCTCTAAAGTATTGTTTTTATTTTTACTCTGGTATGTTTTACTATTTCTTAAGGATGAAAGATTAGGGTCTAAAAAAAGTCTTAAAAAAGGTTTAAATTCCTTGAGAGTGGTATCCCAAATTTTCTGATCAAGGAGATTATGGGGCCACAGAGGAACGTGATTGATGATGTATAATGCATCTGAGGAGAGTCACCTAGAGAGAACACATTCTCTTAGGCTTTCACAGAGAGCACACTGGCCAAGCAATGGCTGTGACTCATCCACATGGCTGACACTGACAAAGGATCTACAAACTGTGGTACAAGGTTGCAGGGTAAATCCTGTGGGGTTTTGACTGACCTTGTCAGATACAAAAGTTTCATTTCTTGTTATATAGGTCTTGCTTAATCTTGGTCTTAACCATTCAGCAGAAAAGTATAAAAACTAGGTATAAAAAGTAAAGCCATATTAATATGCTGAGCTGTAAAAGGCTCAAGTCAACAACTTATGACACTGCCAGTCCTATGGATAACCCACTACTATTGTGGACTACTGGACTACATTGGATTATTTTGCTGAATTCACACACCTACAATATTTAAATGTCAATGGAATATCCATCTCTGACAAAACTAATAAAAAAGGGGGATATAAATGAAGGACCATTTTGTGGTGATATATATATATATACACAAAATAGTTAGGGTAGATATACAGCTACTTTCTTTTAATTCAATGAGAAGAAAGATTTGTACTAATAGTGTTTGGACATATCATGTCTGCATCTTGTACTATGAATAACTA